ATAGTCATCTCATGCATTTGAGAAGGCAGATAAAGGCTGCTGCCTTGTTTATACAAACTGTTTATTAGGCTGTTCTTCCTGACCACAAGTACTATTTCCCACACAAAAAGCAGTTAATAAATCAACAGTTAGCTCATCTTCCTACACCTCCCCACCTCCCTGAGTACTTTTTATTACAGGTTTTCAAACTGGCTTCCATGAATCCTGATTGAGCCTTCTCCTTTCATATGTTAAGATCTAAGAGCTTTTTTTTTTGCAAATTACCAGTCGCACATTTCTGAGCCACATCTGGTAGTAGTGAGTAGCAGCTTTCCTCAGAAGTGCCTGCGAACTGGCAGTCAAATTACTGGCTTCCCTGGGAGAAGATGAGCCTGTCAGTGTTTCTGGGAATTACATAGTGCTTTTTCTTCCTAGCACATGGATAAGGCCCAAAATGTAGATTCACACTACCTGATAGGGCTTCCTAGGGCAGAAATGGCTATCCTGGCATGCCCTAGCATTGCTCTCTGCACTGCTTAGCAGTTCACACAGAACCATTAAGGCTGCTGGAAAAGACCTCTAAGACCATCAAGTCCAACTGTCAATTCTTCACCACCATGCCCTCTAAACCATGCCCGAGTGTTACATCTACACGTTTCTTGAACACCTGCAGGGATAACACCTCCAGAATAAAATCATTGAATCATTTGCCACTCTTTTGGAGAATAAATTTTTCCTAATATCCAACCTGAACGTCCCCTGGTGTAACTTGAGGCCATTACCTCTTGTCCTATCGCTGGTTACATGGGAGAAGAGATCAACTCCTACCTCACTACAACCTCCTTTCAGGTAGTTGTAGAGAGCAAGGTTGAACAAAGGGGGAAATTTATGGTTCTCTATTTGCCACCTTCTGTCATAATTTACAGAAACCAGTTTGGAAACTTGTAATACAAACAATTAAAGGGGTGTGGGAAGATGAGCTCAATTTTTTTTGGCTGAAAAAGGGTGCTTGTGGCCCAAATGAATAGCGTATTAAACAGCTTAGATAAATGCAGGAGCAAAACCTAACTGACTTCTCAGATTCAACTGGCCAGATGTTAATCGAGCATGTCATGCTCTGCCTGCACAGCCCACACCTCTTCCTCCTTGCCATAAAATCTCTTGGGCCCTGGGAAACAGGAGCCATCTTTAAGTCACTAAGCTGTGCCTCACATATGTCCCCTCAGCAAAAAAGGGTTGGGAACTCCTGGCCTTGCACCCAAAGCCTTGCTGAGGAGCAACTTGGATGAGTCCTGCCAGCCAGGATAAGGAGCTGGGTGCCTGACTGCCAGATGCACCTCTGCTGGCCCTTGCTAACAGGAGAGCCTGATGTGCACTGCTCCCTCTCCCACCTCAGGCAGCTTTCTGCTCTTTTTCCTTTCCTCCTGCCTGCTTGCCTCCACTAAAGGACATCCTTCCTCTCCTCAAACCACAGGGCTTCTAGTGGGGTATTTTCACTTGATCCCAGCAACATGGTCAGTCTTGTGAACAGAGGGCTCAGCACAGTCAGGGCAAACGATGGGATTCACTGGCTGCTACACTGACCCAGCAAGAGCACAGACAGGACTGAAACATCAACCAGAGGATGGTATGACTGATCTTAGGATGCTTGTGCAATAAAAACTCCAGGAATCTGCTCAGAGTCATGGCCAGAAAGAAAGTCTGGCTGTGAAAAATGCAGCAACTTTCTGTATTCTCCAGTTGGCTACTGGTGTCAGCACCAATTCACGTCGTGTTAAAAACTTTCTCACTGTGCACTAGATAATGGAGATCTGCTGCTCTTCGGAAATGCAGTACTAAAGAGAAAAACTGGTGAACTGTGTATAGAAACAAATCAGACCTGCCAGAATCTATAACTGGGTCAAAAGGGTACCAGCCCTTAAAACGTTCAGCAGCAAACAGTCTGCCTCTGACGGCATCTTCAAACAGTTCAGAAGCCTTCGAGCAAGCCAGAAATGCTTTTAATAATGCACACAACCTGAGCTGCTTTGAGTCAAATACTATAAGTCTATACATATCTTAACAAATTAAAAGCACAGAGCCATCTAACAACTGCTATGCGCAATCCTCCCTGGCCTTGCTCTTCTCACAGCCCTTTTGCAGAGCATCAGCTTCAATGTGATCCAAGTCCTAAGAGACCAGGGAATGGCCTCCCGTAAGAGCTTCCAACATGCAGTTTGAAACAAACCTTAAACAAACACACTGATGCCTAGGCAGAGTGAGCAGGTTGAACTGCACTTTGAGTTGATAAAACCCAGCAGTCTACTCACTAGGGGAACACAGATGGCTGGTCACGGGAGGCTCTTCCTCTCAGACAAGCTCCCACAACACACGTGGGTAGCTAGGAGCTTCCAGTACCTTGATGAAGTCCACAACCCTTTCATTCCAAGGCCCCTTTTTCATAGGATGCACCACCCTCTGACAAATGCAGAGCATGCTCATGTCTCAGGACAAGCATCCTACCTTCCTTCCTCCTCCACCCGCCTAGAAGTTTAAAAGACCTGACAGAGAAGAGTCAGATTTAAGTGAGTTGGCTTGAATCCTGCACCTGCCTGCAGCAGTGCCACTGGCTCAGCCAGGCCTGTGAGGAGCTATGCAGCTGAGGTAAAGGCTCTGCGCTGTGGTGGTGCATACAGCCCCGCTGGCTTAAAAACACTCAGGTCCAAAGACACAGGTACAATCGTGACAGTAGGGACGTTGAGCTAAGTGACCTTGACCACAGAGCTGAAGAAATTCCCCACCGCGGTGCTATCAGCTTCTTCTTCTACACGCTGAGGGGCTGTTTATTTTTGTCACTCACCTTTTAATTAAACAGTACTCCCTACAGGATACTTTATTCCTTGCAGCTTATCTCGGCATCTGCGACATCATATAAAAACACCAACACCTCCAAAATTAACATCTGCCAGCAAATCTGCCTCCCTTCCTAAGGCACGTATTCAAACCTTCTAGAACTTTCAAAACAAACACCATCTACAACAGCAGTATTACTTTAGGTAAAGTCATACTGTTGGTTGCAAATTGGATGCAGACCAGGGGCAGGAATGTGACTGCATTTCTGTCAAATGAACCAGAGCAGCCAACAGAGAATCCCCAGTAGCTTTATGCTAACTGTGGAAGGACACGCAATAGCTGAGCTGACAAAGTCAGAACGAGGCGCCCAGCTGGGACACAGTTACCTCAGCAGAATATTTTTGAACTAATTTGGATTGCAAAGTAACGTCGTAGCAGATCAGCACTTTATATCATAGACTAACTGCAGTTTAAATTTGATATGAGGAGCCTTAAACTGAGGTTTACTACTCTGTGAAACCATAGCCTTTAGGATACAAGGAAAAGCTGGAAAACAAAACGCTTACTCAGCTCTAAAAGAAGATAACTGAAAAGGAGAAACAAAATAAAACCATGGAAAATCTAAAAGCCTAAATATTCTTTCTTTTAACACACCTCCCCTCACTTCCTACAGTATCACCTTTCCACAGCAGGTTGTTATTGCAGCATCATCCAAGTTTTAAAAAACATCACACCTGAACAGGAGGTTGGCACCCACCTGTAATGCCACCAGCAGCCAGAAGTATATTGGGTCAATCTCTATTTCAACATGTGCCCCAGGAATCAGCACCCAGCAAGCTCGCTGGATTAGACTGGTCTGATAGACAGCCAGAACTCGGCTCTTTACTAACTATACAAATTTTCCTTTTCTCACCATGAACCCTTAACCCCAAACTAGTTGGGCATTAATCCCAACTACTGTTAAGCCTACGCCACGGTTGGAGAAACAATCACTGTTTCATAACATCTGAAAGAGCCTTCTTGGAGTACCTGCAATAAATGTTCCTTACTGGAAAGCAATTAACATCAGTAAGAATCTTGACTGGATTAAAACAGTAGCAGCCTAATGAAAAAAGGGAGATACAGGCAGAGCTGCTGTGCAGCACATTGCCTTAGGAGTAACCTTATGTCAACCATCAGCCACAGAGTCCTGGGTGAGGATGTGAGCTCTAAGAGGCAGCATCCCATTCTCCTCTTCCCAGAAAATACCCACTAATTCTGGGACTGTGTGGGGTGGCTTCGCTTAGCACTAGTCTACAATGTGTTGTGCTCTCATTCAATGACCTTGCTCGTTTCGTCACAGCAAGGGCTAAACTCACACTCCTGAAGACTGTTTTGCTTTTGTTTTGATTAATTAGTTAAAGAGGCATTAAACTGATTAGCACTCATCAGGTCTGCCTGCTCTGCTTTCACCTTATTTTCCACTGTTGCTTTTCTAACTAAGAAGGAAAAGCTGGGCTCCCAGCACCGAAGATAAACTACCAAAAAATGCCTACACAGAGCAAAATAATCTAGTCCAGACAGGTCTAATCAGAGCAAAGAGAGGGCTCCTGTGTGCTGCTTCTGCTCAGATATCAGTGGTCAAATGAACTGAGTTAAGGGAAGAATTACTCACTTCATAGCTATTTCACAAAAATGCCATGTTTTACTATCACTGTTATGCTAAGGACAGATAATTTTTAAGCCTGGTGTCCTCTTCTAACACTCTGTCAATTTGTAGAGTGCACTGTGGACCCTGAGAGTGTCAAAACTGCAGTCTTGCAGAACGAGAAGCTCGTCTCTGAAATCCACCCAGCCCACACCTATTTGACAGAAACAGGACTTGGTCCTTCACCGCTCCCTCTTTACTACCGATAAGCCTTGCTTGGAACATGTTTTTCAGAAGAGACACCATATAGAAACACTGACATTCGGCAAGAGAAAGCTTCATCCAGAATTATGATCTCGTGTGCCTATGTCTGTACCTGTCAGATACTCAAACAACGGATTGTCCTTAAACACGAACAAAGCATGATTCAATATACCCAGTTAGTGAATAACCAACATCAGTCACTTTCACAACTGAATCACTACACAAAGAGTTAGCAAAAAGGGAATGCAAAAATGCTAGACTGCATGAAATAACACAGTTAAATAACAAACAGTCTTACCACAGAGCAAGTCTCTGCTCAATTTCCTTGAGAAAACCAGTGTGAAATTTGTGCAAAGGTTCAAAGTTGGAGAAAATGAGATTTTTCAGTGTTTCAGGCATGCAATCTTCTTTGCTCACTGCACTTTGAAACCACTACAAAGAAAAAAGAAACAAAATTATCAGGGGAGCAGAATGCAGCAGGTATGATCATTTGCTCTCTTTATCCACCTAACCCAAATACACCTAACCCAGTAAAGACCTTATTTAGCTGGCACTAGGAATCCAACCCAGGCTACTCCTCACACTCCTACATGATGAACTGCTGCTCTTATCAGGCCCTGCATGGTTAAAAAAGAAACTCCCTTCACCTTGGCCATCGCTGATCAAATCTTGAAAATTCTTTTCAAGAACAAACTGGTTGGACAACACAAACTGAATGTGCAAATGTTTTAGGGGCAAGAGAAAGAGCACTGCAATACTTGCAACACTTCTACACTCCAGTAAAAACGAAAAATATGCTCTGCATTTTCTTTTGCTGAGTTCTGTCTGTAATCCCTTTGACAGGAGTTAGTACAGTAAGCACTCAAGCCCCCACTGCTTTGTGAGGATAAAGAACATTTAAGCCCTTTGCAAAATGAACATGTAGAAGGATGGTACTTTGCACTTCCAAGACAAGATGATAATAACAGAAAATAGGAGAGTTGGTGTCAAACACTGTTAAGATTGCAACAGGCCCCGGCTCAGTTTTGCTCCACATTCTTTTTATTTCACTCTAATAGACACAGGGGTGACGTAAAGCCATAGGACTTGGGGGCTTGCCAAGGTGGCACAGACTATTATCTTCAACATGGTAATACTACTACCTCCTTGCTGCCTTGAAACGTTACGGTTATCCCATGGTTGACTTCCCACAGGGCCTAGAAGGCTGTTGGGACCATAGAAGGCTGTTACAGCAGTCTTTATTGACACTGCATCAGCTGGAGCTGACCCAGACTTGGGATAAAGAGGGATCCCTCCCAAGCCT